CCCTTGTCGAAGAGGCGACTAAACTCGGGTTACCCCGCGAGCTGGCTTTCGATGCTGGCACCGATGCCACTCCAAGAGTTCTGCTGTCAATTGCCATTCTGCCGCAACTAGCAGAAATATTCCTAGATCCTGGAAACAATGTACTTCTTTCTCAATTACCGCATCTCTCCTCAACCTGAGATTACTCTCTAAGGAGTTGAAAGTGTTCAGGATGGCAGACACTGACTCCGACTGGGGGCTCTTCGATGTGAAAGCGCTGATCCCTGTACTCATTTATCCTTCTGTGACCAGGATCAGCACTTACCATGCTTTCACAAAAAAAACAGTTTCAACGTGAAGAGGTTGATACCAGCCGACACTACTCTTGCTTCCCATATAGGAACATCTAATGTGGAAACGATAGAGTTGTACCAGGCTAGGACGAACGGTGACGTACTCGGAGATCTCTTACGACTTCCGCGTGCTCTCAAAAAGTTCGTTTACCAGGATAGAGGAATAGACGAAATGGTTCTTCATGCCTGCCCAAGGAACAAACTTGGAAGGGCACTTAACCATGTAGCGCACTCATTGGAAGTCCTCGAGATAGCTTGGAGTGACGATGACGACGATGATGACGACGAACTTTGGGACCTCTCCGGATTCACAGCAATTAAACGGCTTTGTATCACTCTCAGTCTCATCCTTGGGACAACTCCTTCCGATGCGCCTTCCCTATCCAATGTCTTACCGCCTTCAATCGAAACCTTGGAAATCTATCCATCTCATGTTCGGACTTGGGAGCAAACGGACTATGTAAACGCCATAAGGCAACTACTGCTCGATAAATCACCCACATGCGTCCCTCATCTGCACAGTATCACATACTTCAGCGTCAAATCTCTATCAAATTCCTTGCTTGACCTCGCTTCTGAGCGAAATGTCGCACTAACTGGACCAGGCAGACCATGATGTTGTGATCTGTACCTGATTGACCTTCGAGTGTAACAGTGCAGTGTATTGATATCTATGATTCCGTCAAATAAATCATTTTCCTGCCTCGTAGTCTTGGGAGTTGCCCTACCTCTAAGCCGCATCCAGACAAGGTGAATGTTCCACCATAAATTCCATCTTCCCCCGTCCTTCTACCGCTCGGTGGCTATTCGCCCTCACTTACAATGCCGCAGGGGTCAAAGCCATTGGAACAATTAGCTGACGAGCTTGTTCTCGAGATCGTTGATCACCTGAGCTTGACGGACCAGCAATTCTACAAACAACAGTCCACAACCCCACTCAATTTGGATATCTGGAATCTTTCTCTGTGCAACAGAAGGCTATCCTCTATCCTTATCCCATCACTCTACCATTCCATATGTATCGACAAAGCCTCCCAGCTACTAGGCCTTCTTCGACGTGTGATCGATAACTCTATTGACGGTGGCCTTGTGAAACGCCTTCTTCTTGTACGCGAAAATATCGAGAAATGGATAGAGAGTGGGATCTTGAGCTCAACCACTCGTCTGACTAGTCTCGACTAGTCTCGACCCGAATGTAGAGCCAACGCGTAGCTTCATTGTAGCCGCTAAAGGGGCCGTTTCCTCCGGATTCCTTGCATTTGCGATCCGGGAGGGTCATTTATGGGCAAAGACATTGAGCTTCTTGCTTCAGTTTCCCAAACTGAATGGACTGGGCATCGAGCCTTCACTCCTACTGTATGACTCGTTACACAATATCAATATCATTACAACCGGTGAAGTCTTTAAAGCCCTTCACTCTGTTGTCGTCGTCGTGCCAGGTCCTGCTATCAGCCAAACACCGGTCGATATCTCAACGTTGGTCCCCTTCCTTCTCGTCCCTTCCCTGCGTCAAGTCCAGGCTTATCATATAAGAACAATATACTCTACATCCTATGAAAATTGGCTCTTGGCACGTGAAAAAATCAGTCTCCCATCATGGCGTAGGACGTCCAATGTTGAAGCATTAGCTCTACTATCGTCCGGCGTTCACGGTGACGACCTGGGACGCCTTCTACAGCTTCCACGTACCCTCAAATCATTCACAGTTGGTTTGGTCTCACCCGATTCATATGGTTCGATTTCAGGTCCACGACCAATTTATCAAGCCCTCAACCGCGTTTCGGATACCCTCGAAGCTCTTACCATACGTTGGATCGATGCATTGCCTTTGACAACGGCCTCCTGGTCATTTATACATTTTGGGTTACTTAAGCGATTAGCCATTAACTGGACCTTAATCGCCGGGAGCGATCCTGGCGCTGCTCCAAATTTGGCGGACCTTCTCCCTCCAGTACTTGAAACTCTAGGGCTCTTTTCCGTTGAGGTAAACAATTGGATATCAGGACAAATCATTGATCATGTAAAGCAGCTTTTAATACAAAAGTCAGCCACAACCCTAAATCGACTGTGCAGAGTAGAAATTTGTGACTTCCCTATGCTTCTAATTCCCCTCGCTGAACTAGCATCACAAAAAGGCGTCTCAATAGGTAACTCATCACTCGGCCAGGATAACTGGGATACTTGATATCTGATTATTACCTAGTTGAATGATCATTTATTATAATCCCATAGCCAGTAATATCGATTCATCCACAATGAATGTCGAACTAATAGTGTTAATATACGTAGATTACACGTGAACGACTTTTGCCATTCCGCATATGCTATCTAAATGACCTGCATCGACACCCCTATATAATCCAAGAGATGTATCATATGTAAACACCAGATAGATGCCATCTTGGCAATACTATTAGTTATACCTGTGTATTGAGTTCCAGAGGTCGCGGCTAAAATTCTCCTAGGAGCGGTAGAACACGTTCGCTTTGATCACGAACGACCTCTGTTGCTAACAAGATCTTGTCCCGAATGAGGTCCAGTAATCGAAGCTTACTTGAAGAGCCTCCTCCTTCCAGAGAATGTCGTAAAGATGGGTTGTGTTTTGGGACAGATACAAACCCGACCGAGAGGTTATTGCGAGTGCATCGTCCCAGCAAGCTAGTGTCATGAAGGGTTCTTATCCTCCTGAGGTGTGATCTGCCCTTTGTTATCAAACTCGGTCATGTTGATGTCCGAGAAACTGGTCGATAAAGGTCCGCGCACGCGCCTCCTCCTTCCTCCGTAGTCATTGCGTTTGGCACTCTCACTTGAGATGGGCGAGTTCTCAGAGAATATCCTCCCTGACACATCAGCTAGCATCTCGGTCACTTCTATATCATCCAAGAGCAAAAGACTTTGCAGACGGATGAATAACCGATTGCAGGCTACACCGGTCAGGACGATGGGTGGAGCAGACCCAATGATGGCACCGGCAGCGGATATGGTGGGGTTGAACATCAAGACGAGGAGGACGATTTGTCCGAAGATGACAACGAACCAGTAGAACAAGCCGTCGGTGAAGAGGAGTGTGGTGAGGGGGAGACGAATGGCTTTCTGGCGTGCGAGAGGATAGGACCGAATGACATTTAGGACGACTAGGAGTGTTTCGAAGGCAAGGGCAGTGAAAAACACGATGTACATTTTGTCCCAAGTGGGGAAGATGAAACATCCAGTGAAGGGTGGGATGTTCGGCATATTGATCGAGGTAGCTTGCCCATAGCTCATTATACCGATGTAGGATGCCATGTTGAGTACGAAGAAAACCCTGATTGAGTATATGACTAGGCGGGATTTATTCCAAAGAGCATTAACTCGAGTCATCATGGCCACTGAAGCGCAAGCATGAGATAAGAATGACATCATGATCGAGGGCCTTACAATTCATGATGATTATGAGAACTAGGGATCCAGCCGCAGTGAGCCAAGGCACCGCTTTACAACTACCAGACCTGTTAGCATACTGAGCTGTATAAAGAAAGAAGAAGCTCACTACTAGTTTTTTTTCAATATCGAAAGTACCATTGAATCGTTTTAATAAGACCAAATCGTCAAATTGAGAAAAGTCCTCCAGGCGGTGTACGTACAGTTGGAGATGCGAAGGCCGGAAAGTACTCTGGTAGGGCGTAAAGGTTAGTACAATACAGAATAGAGCATGCGTATTGAAATGAGACACACCGGTGGCAACTCCGATCATCGTGAGAGGTGCGACAACTCGGTTCTGAGGGGGAGGTCAGGACATCCATCCAGCAAGGGTCATAAAGACTACAACAATACTTACTAGCATGAAGAGAACCTTGGACATGGACCATTTCTGTTTCCAAAAGAGCTCGACCTGGACCCTTATTCACAATGTGTTCGAGGGAACAATATGAGGGAACTGACACTTTGATCGACAGTAATGACTACAAAGATATCGTTCAAATTAGCGATTCCACTTGAGAATATTTTCGATAAGGATGGGTACCCACTCATTTCATAGACAACCCAAGCTACGTAGGCGGCTGATATTCGGGAAGACGAAACCGGTTGATCAGCAACCATAACATCAGCTATAAGTGCAA